GGGATGGAGCAGGAGCTAATGCAAAAGCCTTCTAAATAGCCTCCCACCCCCAAACCAGTCTCTTCCACTTAAATGCAAACACAAAGACATCATTTCTTACGGTAAATAATCTCATATTATTAATTCCTTGGGAGGCAACCTCTTGAACAGTCTAAAGGTCATCATCTAGCTCCTGCAAATCAGTCTGACATCATCTCCCCTCATAGCCATCCTGCACAGTGGTCCCAGTTCCCCAGGAAACCAACCTCTCCAACATTTCCACAGCAATACTGCACTGTGCCCTCTGAGACAGCTCTCCCCCTCTGGTCTAACTGGTATACTCTGACTCACCCGTCATGACTCATCTCAAGCAGCACCTCTGTGAATGCTCCACAGCACCTTCTATGTACACTTCCCCCAGGACTTGCCTCAAGATACTGTCACTGTTTACACACTGATGTTCCCACCGGACCACCAACTCCCAGGTTAAGTTTTAGAACCAAGATGTCCAGTTGAGTGGTTAATATAAAAGTTCCAAATAAATAGCTCTTGACTGAATGAGCAAATATAATCCAAATATAATCATGAATTTTCACATCCCCTAAACATAATCCAGACCTCATTCGTAGTCCTTTCACAGGTAAGGGCAACAAAGACTTTGCTTCCCACTATGGAAATGGGACAAAAGAGCAGATCATCACATACTTTTAGACTCCCAGGTCTCAGAAGACAGCTCTCCAACTCAAGTGTTATTGACTTTCCCCTTTTCTAAGAGTTGAAAAGGTTCCCAGAAAGTATAAGAATTTCACTGTTATTATATTCTTATGAAAACTGTTTATATCCAAGAATTCAGAAACTCTAACTCTCATTCTGCTTATACACTTCATTATCCGTACACTTAAAACTGATGTATTAACACCAATCCTAAGGTATCAGGAAAATGAAAACTTTTTAGGACTTTTGCTATGGTTCAATTACATGAAACTGTGTGAATAACTCAATCTGACAGTTATATATAACTCTCATAGGTTCCATTTTGTTTTTTAAAAAAAAGTCCAAGGGAGGAGGAAGTCCAAGGAATCATCAAATTAGTTTATGATGTAGTACTAGAACTGTGCTATTATTATTCATTATATTTACTGAATACTTATTACAGGCAGACACTGTGCTGAGGGCTTTGAATGCCTGACTTACCCAGTTCTCTGGGCAATGCTATAAAGTAGGCATTATCTGAGCTTAGGAAGGTCAAATGTACTGGCCACCAAAGCAGTAACTGGCAGAGCTGAGATTCAGACCCATTTGTGTTCAACTCCAAAGACCCTGCCAGTACACTAGCTCACCTAATTGTTGAATATCAAGGATTCCTAAAGGGACATGCCTTTGTTCAACACACACTAAAAATCACTATGTTCCAGGTCCTGGACATCAAGATTACCAAGATAAATAATAAACAGCCCCAGACCTCAAGGAGCCACCAGGGTTTGGAGGACCCCCAGTGTGGTAGACGAGAGCACAGGTCCCACAGACACAATAGGTGCAAATACTAGCTCTACCAGTACTGTGTGAGACCTTGGCAATGCACACCTGTTTCCTCATATTTACTTCCTTCCCTGCAAGATGAAAACTACATGAGTTAATTTATATAAAAGCACTTTAAAACACATACTGGCAACAAAGTAAACATCTGATAAATGCTAGTCATTATTAATATTATCACTACAGCTCCTATTAGTACTACAATCAATGAACTGGGATTTTTTTTTTTTATAAAACAAAGTGCTAAGGTATAATAGCAAAGGCACCAAAGACAGGTACCCAACAATGCCCGAGGGAGGAAAGCAGACCCCTCACGGAGTCTCAAAATATAAACAGAAGTCAGCTGACACTACAAAGAGAGGGGCAGGAAGAAGAAGACGCCTTCAAGGCTGGGGGAAAACAAAAGCCCCAGGATGACAAACTAATGTGATTTTTTTCCAAGAAATATTAAAAATGAATACAGTGCTGCTACAGTCTCTAAAATAAGAGGAAGAGTATGATGAGAGCTGAGATCAAAGAAGTGTGAGGAAAGTAGCCAGGGGAAGGACATGGCTTAGATATTCTCTGGTGGCTGGACGTATCAAGTACTCAGCACAGGTTTACTCAATTAAAAAGTCAAGCTTGAGAGCACTACCTGTGGCTCAAAATGAGTAGGGCACCGGCCCCATATGCTGGAGGTGGCGGGTTCAAACACAGCCCCGGCCAAAAAAAAAAAAGAAAAAAAAGTCAAGCTTGAAATGAGTTCAACAATATTATAGTCAGGGTTTTAATGGCCGGTTTTCTCAAAACTGGATTTACTAAGAAAGCCACAACACAGAGATGCTTTAGGTCAATTATTTTAATTTGGATCTGGCCTCAAAGCATGTCAATGTTTAAATTACGAGCTCTGCCTGACACCATATTCTCAATAAATATAATTAGAACAGCAATAGCACAAAAGCCACAAACCTGTGTATAAGGCGAGATGAAACTCGTAATGCACACCAAGCCAGCATCTGCAAACAGCTTAGCAACCTCTGCAATGCGTCGGACATTCTCTTCTCTGTCTTCAGGACTAAAGCCAAGATTCTTATTGAGACCCTGACGAATATTGTCCCCATCCAAAGTGTAGCATGGAATCCCATGGCAAACCAAGTATTCCTCCAAAGCCATGCTCACGGTAGTCTTCCCTGCTCCAGACAAGCCTAAAATTGAGTAATGCAAACAGATTCCATCTGTAACACTAGAAAGGTAACTTCTTAGTAATAAAAAATGTTAATTATAGGCTTAAGTACATTCATAATTCACAGCAATCTCTTAGTAACATTCTTTTCTAATATTTCTATTTAACTTTTCCCTAGGAAAATATCTACAGTTTACACACGACAAGCATTTATTTTTAATAACATGTATCTAGCCTAGAAATCGCTAGTAAGGTTCAAAAGGGCTTAACCAATTTTAGTATTCAAAGTGGATGGGTAGATATTCACTTTGTGCTCTTGTTACCACTCTTCTAAAGCAGCATAACAAACTTTAAACAAAGTTGTAAGCCCACATCTGTTCCAGCAAGGGAAGAAAAGGAAAGGACAAGAGTCAGTGAAATATTACAAAGTTACCTCCCTATTCCAGGATCATCCCCACTCACA